CTCGCACGCAGCGCAGCGAACTACCTTCGCGTAATTGTTTCACCCCAGCGCGCAAGCAACGACGGACAGAGCTGCCGCCCAAGTGCGATCGCCCGCTCAGCGCAGGCACGCATTCAGCACACGAAGACGAGTGCCTAGAATTGTCATCAAGTCCATAGTAGTGGCTCCGAGGTTGGCGGGTAGCCTGGTACCTATCTTTTGAAGCCAGGTAATTTCGGTGTTCATAGTGATCATGGGAGCAGTCGGTTCGCGCCAGACCTGACCTGCAGTCGGTTCGCGCCAGGCCGTCCTGAGTAAAAGAAAGAGGATAGCCCCGGGAGGGGAACACCATTGGCTTTCTTTAGGCGTTCGTGTGATTGTCGCACTCTCGCGTTTTAGGCACATTCACTTGCCAAGACGGTCCAAGCGAGTCGAATGTCGATCCAAGATTGCCTCGGAGGTCCCCCAGAGGCCCGCGCGCCAGCCCCTCCCGAGATCTTTCTTGTGGCCGAGGGCGCCCAAGCTGGGCCAAAAGACGCCAGGAAGCACCCCCGGCGATCCCAGAGGTTTTCGGACATGGGTCCAGAGCGTTCCAGGACGGCCCAAGATGGCTTCAAGACGGCTCCAGGGCCCTCCAGGACGCCTCAATGCGTTCCAAGAGTGCCCTCCAGAGGGCTCCGAGAGGCAATTATCCCAGCGGTAGGACCCCACATGAGAATCGTTTTGGACTGCCTGGAGATATTATCTTGCCCTCTCCTCTTACCCCCTCCTGCCTCCTCCTTTCCTCTTGCCTGCTCATCCTGTCTCCTCCTCCTCGTCCTCCTCCTCTTCCTGCCTCCACCTCCTCGTCCTCCTCCTCCTCCTCTTTCTGCCTCCTCCTACTTCTTATGCCTTCTCCTGTCTCATCCTTACAAATCCTGCTTCATAGGGGCGTCTCCTGGGGCATCCTGGGACCCCCAGGAGCCTCCTGAAGCTTCCTGGAGCCTCCTGGGGCCTCCTGGGGCTCTCCTCCTCCTCCTCCTCCTCCTCCTCCTCCTCCTCCTCCTCCTCCTCCTCCACTTCCTCCTCCTCCTCCATTTCCTCATTTTTCTCCTCCTTCTCCTTCTCTTCCTCCTCCTCCTCCTCCTCCTCCGCATGTTCCGTAGCCATGTTGGCTCAAGGTTCCAGTTGGCCGTGCCGACACATGGAGACCGCTAGTCCGCGGACTGCTTTCGTGCATACTCGAGGCGAGGGCGCCTCGTTTATTGAACGCCTCCCCGTCTCGCGCCCCGCATGGCCGACCTCCCGACCGCGGCGTCCGATCACACGCTGCGCCGGGGGGGCATCTCGAAACGCAAGACTCATGGTGATGGTGCTGGTGATGCGCCTGGTGTGGCTTCTGGCTCCAGAGGCGACCGATCGCGGACCCCGCCTCCCAACGAAGAAGCCGACTTGGACGCCTTCGCCACCCTGGCCTACGTCCAGACCCTGCAGAGCAAGATCGACAACATGGAGAACTCCATCAAGGAGTCCATCAACACCACTGTCTCCTCGGCGATGGGCGACGCCACAAGGCCTATCACCGCCGCCTTGCAGGCCGCCCAGGACGCGATCAACGGCCTGTCGGGCAAGATCGAGAAGGACATCAACCTCGCCATCGGCCAGCGCATCGACACCGTCCGCAAGGAATTCCAGCAGCAGCTCGACGTCTTCAGCAAGAGGATGGGCGAGCTCGAGTCCAGGCATGACAAGACCGACGCCGCCATCGCGGCGATGGCCGACCAGATCAGGGACCTCCAGCAGGCACTGGAGGTCGCGAACAAGCAGCCGATCCAGAACCAGTTCGTCAGCCGCGACTTCGACAGGGAGATCGATGCCACGGTCGTCAAAGTCCACGCCGACGGCCTCGTCACACTCGAGAAGGCCATAGAAGCCCTTTCCAAATGGATCACAGAGAATAACATTAAAGAGTCTGGTTTCAAGGTCCAGGGGGATCCTACATCCAGATTCTTCACGGTCCAGTTCCTGGGTGTCCCTGGGGTCGCTGCCAAGAGAGTCCAGAAGGTCCTCGACTGCCTCCGCGACCGCAACGGCAACTGGACCCGCATCCACGCTCCAGCGGTCGCGGGCCAAGGGCAAGTCGAGCTGCGAGCCGGCCCCGACAAGTCGCCCAAGCAGATCAAGGTCGAGATCATGGGCAAACGCATCAGGCAGGCGCTGGAGCGGGACTTCCCGAACCACACCTGGCGGGTCGACCGCGCCAAGGGTTGGGTCCTCGCTGGCTGGGCGCCCGTCCTCTCCTATTCTGTTCGTCCTGGTCGGGACGATCCCCCAGTGCTCTCCTACCAGGGCACCGGCCTCCCCGCGCCAGGCATCGACCGCGCGCAGCTCAAGACCTCCGCAAGTGCTGCAGTGGCCCCTGAGGCTGCTCCCCAGTTTTGGCTTTGATGAACTCGCGGCCTGCTTGAAGAGGCCCCCCTGCGGTCCCTCCCCGAGCTTGGTCGTGGGGACATGGAATGCTCGAGCGCTCCTTGGCTACCAAGACCGAAGAGTCATCGAGAAGACCGCGTACCTCAAGTCCCCCCCCCTCGGGCCCTCGGCAAGATGATCCTCGGCATTCAAGAAGTACACCAGGACATTTCGCAGCTCCGCGCTTTCATGAAGAAGATCGACAGCACGCTTGACATGCACTTCTCTGCCGCTCCTGGCCGCCACGGCATGGTCAGCGGACGGGTGACCACCATCTTCCCTGCGGGCCTCCATGGTGAGAGCGAAGCTCTTTTCCCTGGTCGGGTCCTCCGCACTATCTTCCGCACCAACACTCAGCATATGATATTCTAAAACATCCACAACTACGAGATCAACAAAGCTGCCATCAAGCGCACCTCCACCCGCATCCTCAGCGACCTCTGTCTAGCCAAGGCAAGCCCGAGCAAGGTGATCTTTTTTTTGTGATGTGGGACTTCAACTTCGCTGTTGTCGGGGAGCTCAAACTCACCGAACTTGTATCCAGAGCCAGCTCGGAGCCCTCCGAATCGTCCAAAGCATCGGCACGCAAGTGGCATGACGTGCTGAAGCACCTCGTTGAGATCGAGGGGGCCGACACCACCCACTACTGTGCGGAAGCGAAGGCTGAATCCACGATTGACCGCTGCTCCTGCTCTTTCACGCCTACACAGATGCTCCAGCTCACGGTCAACTCCACCACCTTCTCCACCCCCGAGGACCTCTCGCGTCGCCATGTCAGCGACCACGCGGCCGTCCTCGTCTTTTTCACAATGCGCGACATGAAGCCAACCAAGAACCAGCCCATCGCCCAGTACATCACGCAGTCCCCCACCTTCAAGAAGATCGCTGACCAGGTCTTCGAGGCGACCGACATGAACCACCTGCCCCCGCCGTCCAAGCGCGCCCTCACCACTGATCTGCTCAGCGAGATCGCGCGGGAGACCAGGGGCCACATGCTCGAGACCTCCCCGAGCAGCGGCGATGTCCAGCTCCAGGTCGCCAAATCCATCGCCCGCGCCGTGTGGCGCCAAGACAGCAAGCTCGCTGCCCGACTTCTTCGTGTGCACCAGTCTGCCCAGGACCACGTGATGTTGGATGGCAATGGGGTCGTGATTGCTGACCCTGTCAAGTTCGAGGAAGGGGCCAGCGATCTCTTTCGCCAAGATACTGACCGAAGGCAGTCGGCCATCAACCTCGCTGCACAGCGGGGGCGCCTCCGCCCTGCGCAGGATCGCGCGCAATCACACGCGCTCCAGAGGAAGATCAAGCTGTGCAACCCGATTGGCAAGAGGCTCATCCTGACAGGCGTCAAAACCAGCGTAGGCACTGTTGGTGCCGAAGGACAGGCTGCAGAAGCTGGAGCACTGGCAGCCAGTCTTTGAAGGCCAACATGTCGACCTCGACAACGCAGCCGACTACCTCAGCCAGTTCTCGCCCATGATCGACTTCAACAGCTTCAGCAGCCCACCGGACTACGAGACCCTCAAGAAGTTCGCTTCCCGCCCCTCCTCCACCCCCCCTGGGATGGGCGGGCCCCCGTGCACCGCCTGATCCGCCCACGAGAAGTGCACCGAGACCCTCTGGGACGTCTTGTGCTACATGCTCAACGGCGGCATCCCCCCCGACGAATGCAATGCCACGGTCCAGGCCTTCCGCCCCGAGGGGGGCGCGGCTGCCACCGTGACCCGTCGAAGGTCCGAGTCCTGGGACTTCGCAACACCTCCATGACAATCATCAGCAGCACCACGAACGCTGCGACAGCCACGGTAGCAGCCAAAGTGGTCCCAGCCTCACAGCGCGGATTCATCCACGGCCGCAACTTCGGCTACAACGCATTGGAGCTTGACGTGGAGAGCCGCATCGCGTCCGCCGGCCCCGGCGCGATGAACGCACTGCCCGTGCTGGTGTCGCTCGACATAGCCCAGGCGTTCCCCAGCTTCGCACGCCAGTTCATCTGCCTGGCGCTCAAGGCCATGGGCGCACCGATGGCCGTCATCAACTTCTTCGACTCCATGTACCACAACATCCTCGCCATTGCTCCCTGCGCTGGCCAATGCGTCTCCTTGTTCTACATGCGCTCGGGCATCATCCAAGGGCGCGGATGGAGCGGCACTCTCTATGCGATGGGCACGGCAAGTTTCCTCCTGAATCTCGAAAGTGCTCTGGATAACCAGAGGCGAGGCCTATGCCGCGCATGTGCTGACGACCTCGGACTAGTGCTCAAAGCTGTCGCCCACCTCTCCCACCAGGCTGAAGTCACGAACTTGATGGACTTGCTTGCGGGGCTCACCCTGAAGGCCCCGAAGTGCCACATCATCCCACTCGCGGGCGAGGTCAACTCCGAGCTCGCCGACAAGCTCCGCAACGCGCTGATCAACACCGTCCCGTGCTTCAAGGACTTTAACATCTCCGACTGTCTCACCTACCTCGGACCGTTGATCGGACCTGGTGCAACCGAGAAGCGGATCTTCGAGAAGTCTTTCAATACGTTCTAGATGCTGACCAGAGCTTTCAGTGCTAGTGATGCCCCCTCCATGGGCACAGCCGCCTTGTTCAACAGCCGTGCACTACCTGTCCTAAGCTACCTCGCACAGTTCGCCATGCTCCCACACGAGTACTTCAAGAACGAGCGCTGGATCAACGCCACTGTGCTGCGGTTCCCCAACGGAGCCTTCAGGATCAAAGACTGGCCGCACCTCCGAGCTTGGGGTGTCCACGGACCGCGTTTTTTGCAGCTCACGATGGTAGCCGCTATCATTCGCTCTGCGGCCGCGACCTTCAGCAAATTCCCCGAGACCCGAGCACGACTTCATGAGGGCCTCAACTTGTACGACTCCAATCAGACACTGATGGGGGTTGCCCGTGGCGCGCTCCACCACTCGCCCCCGCGGTGGCAGATGCCCCCGTTCGTGGAGATGCTGCGCCAGGTCGCCTCGTCCACGACCGAGCATGTCTACTACCCAGCGAACATGCTGCGCCCTGCGGTCGCTGGCGCGTTGGATGCCATCGACGACGGCCGCCCTGACCTCGCCCAGCGGCGAGCGTGCGCCGGGGCGCTGCCAGCCCTCGGTCCCGACTCCATCGGTCCCTTCCTGGAGGCGGGGATCGTGGCCGAGCTCCCACACTACGCGGAGTTCCACTACAACCCAGACATCTTCTCCAAGCTGCGGGCGGCCATGAGCAGACTCCCACCGTCGTGGGCTGCAGCATGGATGAGGGCCCCCTCCTTCTCATGGCTGACCTCGTCGCGAATCATCCACCCGCTGGGCAAGAAGAAGTGCATCTTCGGGTGCCGCCTTGGCCATGGCACGCTCAGACGCTACCTCTCGTGTGCGCCCCTGGCGCGGGCAGTGGGCAAAGCCTGCGACGCCCCCGCATGATCACCGAGGTCGCGAAGCTCGGTCTCACGGACATGACCAGCGAATCCATCGAGCCCATCGTGGTCACGTGCAACATGTACCACAACCTCAGGGGCGAGCTGTACGTCTCGGAGGAGGCGGCCCTCTCCGTCGCCAAGGCGGCCCTGCGCGCCTCGAAGTCCATGCGGCGGCCCCCCGTCGCCCAACGGGGCCCTCGGCGTCGCCAGCACCTTCGACCACATGACGGTGCTCAGGGCGCCCACGTTCCGCGTCATCATCATGACCAAGTACTGGTTCTGGGAGGAGCGTTTCATCCTACTCCTGTTGCGCCGCCTGTGAGCAGGTGGGCGCGGCGAGCCGCAGGCGGCGCGCTGGGGCGCGCGGCCGCGGCAGCCTGGAGCCGCCCCCTCGGCACGATCGACTCCTCCTCCGCATGTTTCTTCCTTTTCATTATCCTCCATGCCTGATACTTGTAGGTAACTCCTCCCTGTCGCACCCCGAGGCCGGCCGCAAGGGCGGGCTGGGCGTGTTTCGCCTGAGACTTCTTCACCGTTTATGATTCTGAAGCTTCAACATTGGCAGCAGTTTCACATATGGAGGGCGCCGCGCACATTCGTTGTAAACTTTCACAAGAGTTTCACCGATTGAGGGCGGGTCGTTTTCAACATATGTCTCTCGCTTTAGCGCCTCGCACACTCGCTTCATACATCTGCAAGATTTTCACGGATTGAGCGCGGATCGTTTTCAAAATGGAACTCTCGTTTTACCGCCGCGCGTATTCGCAGTAGATATTTGTAAGAGCTTCACGGGTTGAGGGCGGGCCGTTTTCAACATGTGGTTCTCGCCTTGGCGCCGCGCACACTCGCTTTAAACATTTGCAAGAGTTTCAGGGACTGAGGGCGGCTCGTTTTCAAAATGTGGCTCTCGCCTCAGCGCCGCGCACATTTGTTTAACAATTGAGGAGTTTCAGGGATCGAGGGCGGCTCGTTTTCAATGGCTGGTCCAGTTAGCCGACGGCCGACTATGCCGAGGGCGCTGTGTTGTTGAAAGATGTAGTTGTGTAGAAGTTTTTGGGATTGGAGACGCATGAGTATCGAGGATCGAGTTTTGTGGGGGGGCTGCAAGCGCGCCCCACAAGGAGGAGTCCTCAGAGGTCCTTGGAGGCTTCCGGATGCAACAGCAAAGTGCTCAAACACTTCAATCTTCGAGCCTCGACCAGCCTTGAGCAGCAGGATACACATGGTAAAGTTTTGGCGAATGGTATTTCAACGTAAACGAGAGTGACGAGGAGGGACGAGGAGGAGGAGGAGGTGGAGGAGAAGGAGGAAGATAAGAAAGAAGAGGATGATGAGGATAACGATGAGCATGCGGAGGAAGAGAAGGAGGAGGAGTAGGAGGGGGAGGAGGAGGGACAGGAGGAGGAGGAAGAGGAGGAGGAGGAAAAGGAGCTCCAAGTCGAAGAGGAGTAAGAGGAGGCAGAAGAAGTGCAGAGGATGAAGAGGAGGAGGATGAGGCGGAGGCGGAGATGGAGAAGGAGGAGCAGAAGGAGTGGGAGGAACACCTGGTGGACGACCAGGTAGCACACCAGGAGGAAGAGCAGCAGTGGCAACACGAGAGAGCGATGCCTTTCGCGCTGGCGCGGAACCGCCTCCCAACAGGTGTGCGGGGTGGAGCTGCTCCGCAACGTGTCCTCGCACTGGCGGGGGCGGCCCCCCTCGGCGGCCCCCCCAGCGGCCCCCTCGGCGGCCCGTCGGCGGCCCCTCGGCGGCCCCTCGGCGGCCATCGGCGCCGCAGTTGCGGCACTGGGCGGCACGGGCAGCTGCGCAGAGGTCGTCGTTGTCGGCGGCGGCGGCTGCGGCGGCAGCGGCGTCGGCGTCGGCGTCAACGTCAGCGTCAGCGTCTTCATCGGCGGCGGCGGCGGCGGAGACGTCGTCGTCGTCGTCGTCGTCGTCGTCGTCGTCGTCGTCGTCGATGTCGTCGTCGTCAGCGTCGACGTCGTCGTCGTCGTCGTCGTCGTCGTTCTCGCTGTCCGTTGTCGTCCTGCCGTGCGGTCGGCTTGGACGCTGGGCCTCCTCCTGTGGGGGGAGGAGCAGGGAGGAGGAGGCTCGGAGGAGGAGGAGGAGGCGGAGGAGGAGGAGGAGGAGGGGTCGCCTAAGCGGAGGAGGCGGAGGAGGAGGAGGAGGCGGAGGAGGCGGAGGAGGAAGAGGAGGCGGAGGAGCCGGAGGAGGCGGAGGAGGAGGAGGAGGAGGAGGCGGAGGAGGCGGAGGAGGAGGCGAAGGAGGAGGAGGAGGCGAAGGAGGAGGTGGCGGAGGAGGAGTGGGGCGGTGGGGGGGAAGCAGTATGAGACGAGGGATCCAGGATGACGAGGACGAGAGCGAGGAGTAGGAGGCCCGCGTCGGGTCGCCAGAGTCGTCCCACACGGGTCCCGCGCAGCGGAAGGCGACTGTGCTCGTTCTCCCACGCCGATCGTTCGAGGCACATGTGGCCTTTCGTTCTACCATCCTGGCGCCTTTCTCCGTGACCCCTGGGTGATCTCCTGGGGCGCGGCAGGATCCGGCCCCGCGGCGACGAGGGCTCCCGGGACGCCCCGGCAGGCGAACACAGCTCTGGACCCTCCTCGTGCCCTTCCCTCCTGGACGCCCAGACGGCTACGATGCTGACGACGACGACGACGCCGACGACGACGACGACGACCAGGATGACCAGGATGACGAGGGCAGCAGGGGCGACGAGGACAACGCCGACGGTCCCCAGACATCCTTCCGACGCGGCGTGTCCACTCCGCGGCCCCAGGGCACCCGACGCGTTCTCGGGGAGTAGGTTTGCGTGCTGGGCCCGATGTCGGTTGGCCCCCGTGGGGCGGAAGCGGCCCCTGGGAAGGACAGCGCCACGACTGAACAGATCACGGCACCCCCGCGGAGGCAAGGAAGAATGCCGCAAAACACAGCACTTCACAGTTCACCATTGGGGGCCACGAGGGGGGGGCCACGCTGGGGGCCGGGCTTCTTCCCGAGAGCCAGGGCTGAACCTAAACGGTGTTTTTCGTTTTCGTTTCGTTTTCGTTTTCCCTCGTTTTGTCTTCAATCCGCATTTACCGCAAAACGAAATCGAAACGAAAACGGCCCAAGAAATCGCCAAAACACCGTTTAGGTCCAGCCCTGCTGAGAGCCGTCGTTACGAAACAAATGCAACATTGCAGAAACCCTCGGCTAGAACCCTGGGCCTCATCTTTCTGCGGCATCTTTCGAGCAGGATCGGTACTTGAGGGGGGTCCGAAACAGGGCAAACTCGCCCGTGGCGAAAAAGATGCGACAACAGGATCTCAGGGCTACCAGGCTTCCGAAACCAAGAGCGAACCCTCACAGACATCGAAGCAGAAACCATTGCATGAACAAAAACTTGCGACGGTCCGCGGGGATTTCTTGGACCCCCTTCCTCGGCTCGCAGAGCGCGCCTGCGGCGGCGCCGGAGGCGCCGCCACGAGGGCCCAGCGCAGATCCAAGAAATCCGCGCTGTCCTCCCAGTTGCTACGTTTGCGCTACTGCTTGCTCCAGTCCTTGGGAGAAACAGAGATGGGATCCCCACAGTCAGGCTGCTCCGGGAATCCCAGCGCGGCGCCTCAAGGGGGGGGGGGGGCGCAGGCTGGTGATCATAGACACGTCCGGGCCGTGCCTGACGTTGCCCCCCTTCATCTTCGACAGCGTCCGCGCGCACGTGCCGATGGAGCGCCCCCGGCGGCCCTCGCTGCCGCTCGACGGCCCAGGCAGCGGCGCGGAGGCCGGCGTCGTCCTGCCAGTGCGGGCGTCTTGGATGCTGGGCCTGCTGCTGCGGCTGGGGGGGGGGGGAAGGTCGGAGGAGGAGGAGGAGGAGGAGGGGGGCAGGGACGAGAGCGAGGGTAAGGGACAGCGAGGGCGGGGAGGAGTGGAACAAGGACTTATAAGGAGAGGGAGGAGGAAGGAGGAGCAGGAGGAGGGGCAGGAGGAGTCGCCGCCGTCCTGGGGGGGGCACGGGCACGGGGAGGGTCTGCGTGGACCTCATCTTTCACTTCCTCTCATCTCCGTTTTGGGCCCCCTTGGGGTCCCTCGGCGCCACGGCAGGGCCCGCTATTTTTCGAAGTCTTGGCCAGGGACCGCGCCACGGGAGAGGTCCCGCGGGGGTCGTCTTCGAGGCCTGGG